TATTATCAAGAATTAAAGAATACATGTCAGATATTGCTGAAAAAAATCTATATTTTATGATCCCAATAGCACCATGTTAGTGCTCAAACATGAACAGTATCGCAGTTGTGAAATGGTAATATTACACACCGTCTTTTCATTTCCTCCAATTTGCAAGGTGGAACCAAAGGCAAATGTTTTTCATCTCTATTTTCAAATGCCAGGAGAGTATTCAAATGACAGTCAAATTTATCCATCAGACTCTGAAAAGAAATTTAGCATGACATGAACCAAATTTATTGGCAAACATTGTAATTGAGGGTTTGTTAATCTCCTTTGCTCTGTGCATGTACTGCATCTTCTTTCAGAAAAAATAAAAACCCTTTCTTTTTTTAACTAAGATTTTATGAATAAATATTTTCAGCATAAATGTTTTAAACTGGAACATATTTACAGAGAGGCAGGCTGCAGTTTCTCTGGCAAAAGCATTATTAACGACTTTTGTTTTCGGATGTATTTTCCATTCCTTCATGGGCTCAAATGCTATAAATCTCACATAGCTAATGCTTTCATGCAATTTTATTGAGAAACCAATCTACCAGTTTTTAAAGCAGTCTCCCTCCCTCTTTTTTGTCAGACTTGACAGTTGCTTTAGAACTCACTGGACTCTAGTCTATCGTTTCCACCTTAAATTAGTATAATGCTCATGAAGAAAGTTGGGTTATCTTCCAGGTCCCATACACCTCCAGGGGAATCGTTCTAAACCATTCTCAAATACCCACTATGTTCCCTTCCTTTCTTGCTAGACAAAGTCTTTTTCAAGAACAGTCCCTAATAAAGCATAGATTTTTCAATGCTTCTTTTTTCTTCTCCAACCTTGAATAAAGTCATTTTCTCCTGCATTAGAGCCATGGCTTCACAGTAATCTTGGGAGGCAGGCAGATCTTCATTTATAAGCTCCTCTATCTCCCGGAGCCAAGCTTCGATTTGCTGGAGGGGCGCGGGTAAGTCATGATTCAGCCTTGTCTTCCACACATTCATCTGAAAGAAAGGGAAGATGTTCTTCAGCAGACATTCTTCCAGTTTACTTCTTCACATATAGTACGTTTAGTTATTTGAAGTTTATCTGATTCCTTAGTCAAGGAAATCTTTCTCAATGGGTAAACGTCTTAGTTCTAAATACCACTTGGCTACCTGAGAAGGTAATTTGTTTAAAAGCTGTAGAAGAGGGCACAAGGATAAAAAACAAATGTTGGGTAAATCCATAATCAGTTATGAGAGGGAAATTAGAAGTATTTAAAGCACCCCTCAAAGCAGGGGTAGACAACTATACCGAATGACCATAGTTTGAAGTGTTGTACACCCTTATGTTCTCTAACTTTACAACTACACCACACCCACAGATGTAAAGGTTGTGTTCCTCAGTAGCCCTAACCGTATGTTCACTTTAGCTATCTCCACCTTATCACCTGAATATCTGTCCTTCACTAAACCCCCCCATAATGCAGGCAGCCTTCTTCTTCCATAGGCCCCCCACCACTCCCTCCCTACATGCACACAAGTCACACAAATGCCAACTACTCATTTCCCCAAACACTGACTGCACTCCCAGGTCTCAGTCTTGCTGACCCTTCTTCCTGGGTTTTCCCCCCTGCTAAGCACTGTCACTCACTCACTCACTCACTCACACATTCATTCATTCATTCATTCATTCATTCAGCAAACATTTACAAATAGCCTAGTGTGCTAAGAGTTGGGGATAAAGATATATAAATTGCTTTGGAGTGGAGAGGAGATGTAGTGGTCACGCACCATCTGTGCGGCAGCTAGATGCAAATTAGATATACACACATGGCAACATGGAGGCACCTTAAACGCATGTGCTCAAAAATCAAAGTAAGAGACGGAATGACGTAAAACATCAATTTACACAACTTAAAAATACATGGACACATAAATATATAGTTTTCAAAAACATATAAAATTAAGCACATCACAATAGTGGCCTAAGGAGAAAGGGGAAGGGAAAGAAGGTATGGGTTTGAAAGGATATACACACAATTAAACAAGTGAATAAAAATAAGAGAGGGCCTTGCCCAGACCCACCTGCCATAAAGGGAAGAGGAAATTTAACACAACCCTCTACATCTGAGGGTCAATCAAATAAATAAGTTACAGCTTTTGCCTGAACCACCTAGACAGGGAAGCAGACAAGCACACCACTGTAGTAAAGTGTGGTCAGTGATATAACAGAGCCAGGCAGAGGGGCCAGCAAAAAACCTTAGAAGAACACAAACTCCACAGTGACCGGGATTCTTAAGCACAATAAAAATCCAACTCCAAGGCCACTTCCTTTCCTCATGAGCCCACTAAGAATGTGGCTTTTTATCTGATCCCATATGACTCTTTTATGGTGTTTTGGTATTCTCATTTCAAAGACACCCCTATGAAGATCAAGCACAAATAAAAATGTGTTTCACACAAATGACTTCCTCTAATGAAAGTGTGAGTTTTAAGTCTGTATTTTCTCTTTCCATTATAGTTCTTCTAAATGAATTGTCACTATTCCTAGAGTTAAATTCTTTGTATATAGAGGAAAGAGTGGGCAAAGTTTGTATATTATATGGGTTATTCGATTCATCGTTAATTCATTCAAAAACATTTACTGGGTACACCACTACATGCAAGGCAAATATTAAAAAAAAAAAATTTAGCCAACTACCCAAGTATGAAGGTGTTAAATGAAGACTAAGCTAGGCTCCTTTAAGGCAGTCAAATGGAACTATTGATAAAATAGAAGCATTAAATAGTACAGTTTTTGCATTTTGTTTTGCATTTTGTTTTTCGGCTTTATTGAGGTATAAATGACAAATAAAACTGTAAGATATTTAAAGTGCACACTGTGGTGATTTGATATATGTATACATTGTGAAAAGATTCCCACCATCTAGGTCCTTAACAAATTCATCACTTATTTCATCACATATTTATCTTTTTTTTCTTTTTGGTGAGACCACATAAGTTCTGCTCTCAGCAAATTTCAATGATATAATACAGTGTTATCAACGATAGTCACCATGTTTTGTATTAGATCCTCAGATCTTATTCATCTTATAGCTGAAAGTTTGTACCTTTTTACCAACCCCTCCCTATTTCCCATAGCCCCCAGCCGCTGACAACCACTTTTCTCCTCNAAATGAGGATCACAAACAAAACAAAACAAAACAAAGAGTGCAATTGAGCAGATGCCATTAGACTGTAAATACCTCTTTAATTTGTTCCTTTTTTGTCTCTTCAAAACAGGCCTTTAGTAAGCAAAGCTTTTCCATGTAAGTAGTCCAAGATGTGAGAACATTTTGCAGAGTGGACTTCATATTATATATACTTTTTCTATACGTAGTGATATTATATTCCACCATCATATATTGTTCGCTGATACTCTGATATTCTCCACCTATGTTAAAACAACAAAGTTATCTTAGAAAAACAGTTTTTCATTAATAATACTGTTAAGAAAAATATTTGTATATTAATTAACAGAGGCAAAATAAATATGTACTCTGACAATATTAAATTGAATACAAGGATTTTCCAAAGAAAATACATATGTAAAACCAATTTCTAAAACATTAGTATATAAAGAAAATGAAACAGATGTAATGTTATTTTATTTTTTATTTTTATAAGAGTTTATTTGAGCCAAAACTGATGGCAATTGCCAGGAAGCAAGATCTTAAATGCTCCTGAAATGCTATTTTTAAGTGATGGTCATTTCATCAAAAAATAATTGTATAGCTTTACCCAAATTCTTATGAATTTCTTCACATTTTTGAAAAGAAGTTTCAAGTTGAGCTAGGAACTCTTTTTCTTCAATAAATTTCTGGGGGAAAAAAATATTGACAGTTTTTACTTTTAAAAACGTGACAAGAAATCCAGATAGAGACATGTAACATTGCTCAAACACTTTGGCACCAAAATTTCTTTAAGGCTTTAATGCTACATAGTTGGGTAGGAAAAGAAAAAGAGCAGTTCAAAAAGAAAGCTAGTTAAAGTCTAGGAGACATAAGTATGAGCATGAACATTATATAGGCATGAAACCTGAAAAGTTTATCTTAATCTGGTGATGTGATTCTACATATCACCATATGTAGGGAAAAGGCATGTTAAGTATTTATAGCAATTCCACATTTCCTACCTCACATATTTATTAATGTTGCATAATTTTTATCAGTTTCTCTATTTCTTATATTTTATTAATATCGAATAATTTTTATTAGATACATTAAGAATGTTATAAATAGATACCATCCATCATGAAAAAACATTTGAAAAACTACCATTAACCAAACTATTATGTGTCCTATGCAAGCAAATTCTGCTATGGAAAAATACAGAGTTAATTAAAAACTCATACCAAAAGGAGGGACACAGAAAGGATAATAAGGCCTCATTGTACTAACTATAAAAATGACATTTCTGGGACACTTAGTTTTTAACTTACTAATGAACATATATTTAAATCATTTGAACATTTTTTCTCATAAAGTATACGAACTAAATCTTCTTCCCCAAAAAAAGCCTCAAGACAGAATGTACTGTTTTCCCACTCTTAGAACTAAAAGGCTAAGATTAAAACGTTGTAAGAAAAATTTAATTTTGAATATACCTATGAATCTGAGTGGGAAAAAAATATTAAACAAGGTGTCCATTAAGTGAAAGTAGGAATTTTTAATGGCAATAACATTGAAATTTTCTCTATTATGTTAATTAGCCTGGTTAACACAATCTTCCCTATTGCAGTAAATAATGCTGTTTTCTCTTTCTTACTCTTTCCTGGTGTCTGTTATTTGACTACCTGTAATTCTTTTGTGTAGACAAAATTTAAGCTAATGAACGCTACCAAGAAAACCCATCTCAGAACCTGAAAAAGTAAAGGGAAATTGTGCCAATGAAAAATGCAAACCCAGCACCCAGACATGGAGAATAATTGTCTAAGACATGAAATAAAAAAGCTTACATGCCAGTCTTCCAGCAATAATTCCACAGATTCTTTGCTCCCATATTTGATGTTCCAAGCATCCAATTTTGATTTCACTTCATCTAGCAAATGAAGAACTGAGCACTTACAGTACTGAAATTCTAGAAGTGGAATGAATTTTTCCCCCGAAATGCTGTTGATTCTGGAAAATAGTGCAGGTTTTAGAATTTAACTTAATATTATGGGCCAAATGTGAGATATCTGTTTGGCACTTTAAAAAATACTGGGGTTCTAACTTTTTCTTTTAAACACATGGTATTCAGATGTATCCTGAAATCTTTTATAAACAAAGTAAAACAAACATTGTGGCTAGATATATAACAACCATTTCTAAGGTGAAAATGTAACAGAAAACATTTTTCTGAAGAAAGTATTTCTCTATTGAGAAATCCTATAATAAAATGTTAATCTCCAAAAGATTTTACTAAATTTGAAAACTTCTTTATAACTTGATGTAACTATAATTTCAACATTAAGTATAAAAAGAGCTTTCATTATTAAGGCTAATACCCTTTTATTATCATTCTAATAAGTTGTAAATAATGAGAAGAGATGATATGGACAACCATCAATTAAATAATCTCTATATTTGTACTATTTATTTTGTTTATAAAGTGCTTTCATATACCTCCTCCCATTTCACCCAGTATGCTTGTGAGACATGAACAGAGTGATTCTCATTATCCTCTATTTACAAATGAGGAAATATGCTCAGAAAGACAGAGTAACTCAACCAAAACTAAGATACAGATCTCAGTTTCTTGCTCTAAGCCCAGAATTTTTTCTACCACCAAATCCTACCATCCAATAAAAAGAAGAAGTATGGGGACGGCCGAGTGGNTTCGAATACTGTAGAAATTGTGCCACGTAGGTCATGATTGACTTTTCATCAGGATCAACAACATCCACATCTGCAAGATGCCACACTATCACTTAGCTACAGAGGTGATTTACTGTAACAATCAAGAATTGGCTGAGTCACAAGACAGCCTTGAAATAAATCAAAGAAATCAAACAGCCATATAACTCTGGTCACTCGTCCTGGCTCCAAGACTGTGCAGTGACTAAGAGCTTAGATCTAGAGTCAGACAGAGCTAGGATGAATCCTGGCAAAGCCTCAGTCTCCACTATGCATGTTGTATGTATGAGGGCATGAGTAGTAAGGGAGGGTGAAAAGGAGAACATAAGCCCTCCTCTTTCCAGAGACACAGTACAGAAACCCCTCCAGGAGAGTGGGAACATACAGCAATTAGCATCCTTTCCTGGCACATTGGTCTCAGCACAGGTGCAGTAAAGCATTTCCAAAAGTATATATTGTATGAAAGATTTGACTAAGACATCCACAAGATTTTATTCATTCATTCATGGAGCAAATATATGCACTGAGAGCCTTCTATTGGCCAAGTTTTGTGCTCATTAATAGAGTGCATGGTGAAATAAATTTGGAAAATGTTGAGTTAAACAAAGTCTATAAAAATATTATAAATTCCTTAAGCCCAGAACTTCTCCAGACATATAATAAATTAGGTAGATCACAAATCACAAAAAAGGGATTGTAATATGCCACACACAAAATGAACACATAATTTTGGGATTTCTCTTGGTATGTTCCCAAAACAACCAATGAAGNTTTGTTTTGCTTTAATTGCCTTGAAAATTTATTTTCTCAAAAGGCATATGGCAAAAGACAACTCCACAATCTTAAATCATTAGCTATATACCGTTAAGCCTCCAGTTAGAAAAATAATGAAAAAAGTTTTCATTATTACAAGTTTTGACTATAAACAACGTAGCGTGTGCTTTTATTATATCCAAACTATTTGTGCATCAGCCAAAAAAGAAAAATAAACCAGAAAATTGATAAACGATTGAGTTAAAGAGAGGCTAAGAATAATACCTCAAATTCAACTGTTATTCTTTTCACAACTAAAAGAAAGCTGTATATATTTGGAGTGAAACCACACATGGGCTTTCTGATTCAGGGCTGTCCTCTACGTAGCCAGAAGAGGAAAGATAGAAGGCAGTGATTACCTTTCACTCCTCTCCTTTCTCACTTGACATAAATAACTGGTTCCACACTTTCTTTCTCACTGTTGGAAATTACTTTTGAGTTTGGCTGAAAATTTATATAAGATCTTGTCAGGTCAAAATAACATAATGCTGCTATTTTCTATAGCAGGCTTAGAATGAAACCATATACTATGATGCTTTGAGATATCTGCACTCTCAAACAATTGAACCAGAAGCTGTCTAAATGGTGTTGACTTTTGTATACCTGATGACTTTAAAATTAATATGTCTCATTTTGCCACACCAAGAAAATGAGCTGCATTCTACTTAACTAAGGAATAGATTTTCCAGTTACTAGCAATTTGTAGCACTTAATCTTGCAACATAGTTCTTTTTATGGTTTTTATCATTAGTTTGTATAATTTTTCAGAAAATTAGGCTATGTCTCTGTGGCCTAGAACAGCCTGAACGATGTGAACAATATCTCTTCCTCTCCTTCCATTCTGTTGAGAGTTGGTACGTTCACAGGGGGCTCTGTCAGAGCTGTGATCAGAACACAAGCTGACAATGCAATGAGTCAACTGATGGGAAGATTTCTGGAGCTGCAGTAGTTCTCCATGATTAGGTAACCTAAAAAGGTGGCTACTAGTTTACTATTTAACACACCTCATAAATGATTTACAAAAAATGTATTCTAAAACAGGCTGTGGCTACTGATGGCCAAGAGACGAGCAGGAATCGGAAAACTTTCCTAGGGCCAAAAAGTATTTTTGATTTGCAGATCATACAATCTCTGTTGCAACTCTGTAAATTCACTAAAAATGATTTAATTATCCACATTGAAAATGAGTGAATTCTATGGTAATGTAAACTGTACTGCAATAAAGATGTTAAAAAAGAAAGAAAACAAAATAAAAACTTTTAGACATCAAAAAAAAATAAAGAATTTGTCACCCACAAACCTGCATTATAAGTTAAAGGAAGTTTTACAGGCTGAAGGGAAATAAGTTCAGATGGAAACTCCAATTTCCAGGAAGAAATGAAGACTACTGGAAATGGTAAATATCTAGATAAATATAAAAGGCTAATTTTTTCATATAATTTCTTTAAAATATGACTGAGCAAAAATATATAACATGGTCTTGGGGACTTTATTTATTTGGTCTTGGGTACTTTATTTTTTCATCTAATATATTTTTTACACTTTATTTATTTAGACATTCAATATTATTTATATTAATTTCAGGTGTGTTGCATATTGGTTAGACATTTATATAATTTATGAAGTGATCCCCCTGACAAGTATAGTACTCACCTGACACTATGCACAGTAATTATTATATTATTGACTATATTCTCTATGCTTACTTTATATCCTCATGAACGTCCAATTTGTACCTCTTAATCCCTTCACCTTTCTCCCCCTGCCCCAAACCCCTCTTCCATATATCACCGGGATAAATCTAGTACCCACCCGACACCATATGTCGTATTGACTATATTCCTTATGCTATACACTACATCCCCATGACTACTGTGTAACAACCAATTTGTACTTCTTAATCCTTTCCCCTTTTTCTCTCACCCCCAAAGCCCCCTCCCATCAGGCAACCATCAAAATGTTCTCTGTATCTATGAGTTTGTTTCTGTTTTGTTTGTTTGTTTTGATTCCACATATAAGATTTTATTTAGATTCCACATATAAGCAAAATCACATTGCATCTGTCTTTCTCTGTCTGACATACTCCACTCAGCACCTTCCAGGTCCATCCATGCCACCGCAGATGGCATGAACCTATGCCCATCCATGGCCAAGAAGTTTTGGGGACTTTAAAACATTTTTGTATCATATATATTTATATATAAAACAACTATAGTATAGAGAATGAGAGACAAATGAATCAATTTAATTGCAAATTTCTATATATTACAGGAAATTATACAATAACTTAGAAGATGTATAACTCTAAGTAGACTAAAACTTTTAGAATGTATATTGTAACCCCACTAAAATATGATATAAAGAGATAGAACCAAAAGCCCATAGACAATTTAAAATGGCATTCTAAAAATTTTAACATAGTAGAAAACTAGGCAGGAAGAGAAAGAATAGATACAAAAAAGAGGGAATACACCAAAAAGAGTAAAACAGTAAACTAAACTGAACCCTAACAATAATTACATGAACTATTAACTGACTAAATACTCCAATTAAAAGGCAGAGATTGTCAGAATGATTAAGAAAGCAAAATCCAACTATATGCTACCTATAAGAATGCACTTTAAATATAGACTCAAACAAGTTGACAGTAAATAAAGGAAATGATCTGTCATACAAACAGTCAGCATAAGAAAATTGGACTGTTCATATTGATATCATATTAGAAATTTTAAAGAAGTATTGCCAGAGACAAACAGGAATATTTCATAATGGTAAAACTGTCGATTCATCAGGGAAACATAACAATCATCAATGTACATACCTAATAACAAAGTTTAAAAATAGATGAAGCAAAATTGGAAAGAATTAAAGGAAGGATTCTACAGATTTTTACTGCTGTCTCTCAACAACTGATAGAACTGGACAAAACGTCAATCAGGACACAGGTAATGTGAACACTATCAACCACCTTGTCTTAACTGATATTTATAGACTAGTACATCCAGTAACTACAGAATACATGTTCTTTTCAAGTACAAATAATATGTACACCCATATACACCATATCCTGGGCCATAACACAAGTCTCAATTAATTTAAAATGACTGAAATCACACAGATATATTCAGACACACATCCATCCTTACACATTCTCTCTGGGTTTGCCCCTACCCATTTTGAGCATGTCTATCGATAATGACACATGACAATGGTCCATGGTAGAGAGGAGGCTGCAGGTCAATAAGAATATGGATAATGCATTATGACAAACCCAAGAATTGATGACAAGTATAAAAACTTTGGATAAGCATGTACTTTCTCTAAGCCAGCGGTTCTCAACCTTTCACAGGGGTTGCCTAAGACTATCGGAAAACACATATTTTCGATGGTCTTAGGAACTAAGACACCGCTCCTCTATCCGTCTCCAGGCCCACATGCAGATACGCCCACATATGAGTACCCAGCGACCCCTGTGAAAGGGTCATTCGACCCCCAAAGGGGTCGCGACCCACAGGTTGAGAACTGCTGCTCTAAGCAGAATGCTATCAATTCCTATTTAAATATCAACTATTACCCAAATGAGACCACAGAGAAAAATGGAAGAGCACTCTCCGACCTTCTGCTGAAGCATCTATTCTGTCTTTTATAGAATTCCTCAGGGAAAACTAAAGTTCTCTTCCAAGAAAAAAAGTGGCCCTGTGAAAATGTTCTAATCAACATAAGACAGTAACCTGGTAGTTGAGGCCATCGCAGGCTTTTCGCAACTGTAATTGATCTTCCTTCAGCTCATCCATATTCCCTTTTACCGACAGGATGTCCAAAAAGGGTTTCTTTTCTTCATTGAATGACTCCAAAAAGGACAGCAGGCTCTACAATTAGAAGAATATTTTAAAGACTGAAATGTTTACATCAGTTTACAAAATATAGTCTGTAATTTTAAAGTCTATACCTATAGGTTACATTTAAATTTTTCCTTAGATAAAGGTAAAATTCCCTACATTTAGGATCCTCTCACTGGTCCTGTTTCCTCCTTCAGTGCACCCTGATAACCTGGGTGCTGTTTAGTGACATAGGTCGCAGCTTGTATCTCGTGTCAGTACTGTTCATTTCTACTGGAATGGAGTGGCAAGGTCCCCAGCTCAGGGGACAAGTCATGATGCCATATGGAAAATGTGAGCTTGTCCTCCCCAAAACGTGTTCACAACAAAATAAAAACAGGTTGAAGTGAGAATTATATGACAGCAGTCATTATGTATAAATGGTTTTTGAGGTATCTATGATTGAGCTTGAGCCAATTCTTCTCAAGTCACCTTATACAGACTTTCGGAAATACTTGGTCGCTGCCCTCAAAAATTTAATAAATACATTTTTCTCGGTTCATATTTGTGTGAAATACTGGTGTATACGTAAGAGTCATCAGTTCCATAAAGTTATTTAAAACAGGGGCTGCAGGTTAGCTCGGGTGATTAGAGCGCAGGCTCATAACACCAAGGTTGCTGGTTCAATTCCCGCTTGGGCCAGTGAGCTGTGCCCTCCACAACTAGATTGAAGACAATGACTTGACTTGGAGCTGATGGGTCCTGGAAAAACACACTGTTCCCTAATAAAGTTTTTAAAAAAGAAGCCAATCTATCAAAATATTTTTTTAAACTATTTAAAACATTGTTCATAATCATTGGCAGCATTTTTAATTAAAACTTTTGAGCAAACTGAAGGATAATTACTTTAATTCTTTCTGATAATTATTAATTTCATAAAGCCTTTTGTTAAGAAACCTGAATCTGTAGTATTTATTGGGTTGTCAGAAAAGTCATGATGCATTTTTGCAACGAAAAACATAGAAAAAATACATCATGACTTTTCCGACAACCCAATACATTACTAAATGAAAGACACCTGTGAGAGCAAGGCACTTCCAGCGGCTCTTAGCATCTAGTTAATGAAAACAGTGTCAGGCCAGAGCCAAGAGGGAAGAAGCACAAGCAGCTTATGTAGTTCAGATGGAAGGAAGATGAGGATGTGTCTGATCCCTTCCTTCCCCATGGCTCTAAACCAAAAAGGATGGTGTGGTGGGCAAGTTACACAATCCACTGAGTGTTAGTGTTGGAAAGGCTGGCTTCATCCAACTCCCTCACTCACCAGCTAGGGAAATGGAGGCCTACAGGTGCTAAGTGCTATGTAGGGACCAGAGAGTATCGCCACCTCATTCAGGGTGGAGGTGGTAGGGAGCAGAGAGTTACACAGACCATGGGTTCTAAGAACCAGGACTGTGGGATCTTCACTTTGGCTCCTGTGAGTTTCTTTCAAGATGGCATAGGGAATTCGTGCTCACCCTGGAGAAGGACCAGGATCAGAGAGAGCTAGAGCTTTGAAGTAAGAGTTCTATTCAAATTCTACTCTCTACTTTTTAGTAGTTATGTAACTTTAGATAAATTACTTAGTCCTTCTAAATCTCGTTGTCTTCATCTGTAAAACTGGAGTAACAACACCATATCCAGCAAGATGTTATAACATATAAAATGCTTGTCAGCAAAGTGCCTGGTGCACAGCAAACGTTCAAATGTAGTGACAATAATAACTATCACTTTCCCCAAAGGGCTCCTTGGTTGAGGCCCTTTACTGTAATCCTGGAATGGCCCCATTCCTGATTTCCTGATTTTTTTCCATTCAATACTCTTTCTGAAAAGCATGTGCTGCTCTTCACCAGGGATGAGAAACTTTGACTGTAGAGGCAAGATGGTTAATATCTCAGGTTTTGTGGGCCATATGGTCTTCGTTGCAGATATTCCATTCTGGTGCAGTAGTGTGAAAGCAGTCAGATAATATTTTAATGGGCATTGCTCTATTCCTGTAACCCTGTATTTACAGAAACAGGTGGTAGATCTCACAAACCAGCCTGCCAATCCTCACTCTAAAGCAGTGGTTCTCAACCTTCCTCATGCCACGACCCCTTAATACAGTTCCTCATGTTGTGGTGACCCCCAAACATAAAATTATTTTCGTTGCTACTCTATAACTGTAATTTTGCTACTGTTATGAATCGTAATGTAAATATCTTTTTGTTTTCTGATGGTCTTAGGCGACCCCTGTGAAAGGGTCGTTCAACCCCCAAAGGGGTCGCGACCCACAGGTTGAGAACTGCTGCTCTAAAGCCTTGCAACCTAAAGCACTCTTAGAACCAGCAGCATCTGCACCCCTGAAAGCTTATTGGAAATGCAGGCTCTTAGGCCCCACCCCAGACCTGCTGAATTGGAATCTGCATTTTAACAAGATCCCCCAGGTGAGTCATATGCACAGTAAAATTTGGAAGTCCTAGAATTCAGCCTTAAAGCTTGTTCATTTCGTGTTTAAATAACTCTAAAAGATTTTTGCTAATACATCCTGTTCTTCCCTAAGAGTAAGCTACAAATACATTACTGTTTAAAGTCATACTTGGGGTAATAATAGTCCTGCCTCCCATGGTGAGAATTAAATGAGTTAATATATATTTTTTTAAAGTCATACTTACTTCATACTTTTTACAGTAGGTCTCATTTTCTGAATCCTTTATCATCTTCTGTAGTTTTTCCTCTTGTAGAGTTAACCACGCCATAGCATCTTTCATCTTTCCCTGTAATTCACACGCGCACACGCGCGCACACACACACACACACACACACACACACACACATTTAAAACTCTATCATAAATAGGCTTAGTGATTTTTTTTAACAATAAAATTAACAACTTCAAATATCAGTGATATAATGCAGTCATTACACACCAGTGACTCATTGTGCCAAAGAGAAATTTTGCTTATTAACACTGTTACATTTTAAAACGCATTGAAGACAATGTACCAAAGAAACAGGGTAAACAAGCCCCCCCCTTTTTTTTTTGGCTTATCCATTTCCATTATTCCTCAATTTTAGAGAATATTATTCTAAATTACATATTTATAATAGGCATTTCAGAAAACTGCTTTCCAATAATCTAAATATTAGTTAATTCAAGAGACGTTCAATCCACCAAATACACTGGCATCAAAAATATCTTGAATATTTTATAGATCCTAAAAATGATACTACCGAAGGCTTTGCTCATACTATCATATAGAAGCGAGCAAAAATCTTTTCCCATTTTGCTTAGGAGGGAAGCTTGCCTACATTTGGAAGCAAATTTTACTGCAGTAAGATAAAGCAAAAGAAGTTACATCTTATTTCCACTCTCCTTTAAACCTTCATTTGCTTTGTTTTCCATTAAGCAAGAGTGTTTTCTATATATTTTTGGATCTGAATTCATGGATAGTTGAATTTTTAATTTTAATTTATAATATGAAAATTAATTAGAAACGAGTAGCTCCTCAGCAGGTCAGAAATAAGTGAACTGAGTTATACGCCTGATCTCAGCTTGAGTCTCTATTCCCGAGTCAGCAAATAGCTGGCTTGGTGCCTCAAACAGTTGGAAAAACATAGGCCTAAAATTTGTCAAATAAAATGTGATAATATGACTACTTGTAAACATGTCTGAGAAAGTAGTTTAAATAAATTATAAAACAGTATTCAAAAACATTTTACTAAATTCACAGCACTCATTTATCTCCATAGAAGCAGAAGGGTTTATTTTCAACTCAGTGATTTTTATGAAATTTCCACCCACAATATTTTATGTAATTGACTAAAACTCAAAGGAAAAATTGAATAATCAAATAGCAATCAAATGGTAACTCAAGAGTACCTCAACAAACAAGGGTTAAGAGTAGAACACAATGCTTCCATTTATATAAATTATATGATTCCATTTATATGAAGATAACAGGTAAAATGGAAATATGATAAAATTAGATTGTGGTGATGGTTGTACAACTATGTAAACATATTAAAAATCATTGAACTGTACATTTTACATGGTTTAATTTTATGGTAGGTAAACTGTATCTCAATAAAGCTGTTAAAAAGTATAATAGGCAAAAATGTGACAGCACTACAATTTTTTAAAAGCCTAGCTTAATTTGTCCTATGTAATGCCTATCTAAAAGTTGTTTTAGATAATTCAGAAAAGTTTAATAAATTTCCACTTTGAACTTAAAAAAAAAAAAGAACAGGCAAAACTAATCTACCGTGAA